TAATCATTGATTATTTTGTTTGAATGTAGGAAAAGATGTGCGTGTTCATAAGAATCCACACTTTTTTAAAAGATATTTACAACCGATTACAAAAAAATATATGTATTTTAAGCTAATCGAAAGGGCGTGATCGCAAAAATTTCCGCTTGCTTCGCTTGCAGGGGGCTTCTCTTTCATTTTTGCCCCAGGGCCTTATACACGCATAACGAGCAGCGATACTTCATTTGGATCGGGTCAGGAAAATCTACCCTGACAGCAGAATTATTTCATTATGAATTTTGCTTTTAAGGGATTCCCTTTTCGATTAGAAACAGTATTACGGCCAATGAGCACATTTTGCTTTACATTTTTTGAAACATGTCTGCGTGAACGAGCATGTCGATCAACTTTCCAGATGAATCTTTCCAAAGCTTACATTCTTTCCGTTTTATTTGTAAATTGAATAGGAAAGTATTACTAATTAATGCAACCATTTTTATAAGAAAACTATAATTTTTTTCTAACCTTTACATTCTTAATAAATTTTTGCTTCGAGCACTAGTACATTCTTAAAATATTGTTATCAAAGGAGATAGCCATCCTCGAATAGAAATTGCGCTTTTTGAAAAATGAAATATCTTAGTCATGCAATACTATGTCCTTACAATAGCAAGACAGGCAACTGCTGGAAAATGAGGCACAAATATGTAAACTGAGGCACATTGCATAAATGCATGCTATCCCATTGTTATTTTGTCGTTGGCAGATTGATACATTCTTTGTCGGCAGTTTAGTTGAATGTGAACGCCCGGTACCGTGAATGTTTGCCTCTAGTGCCTCCCCGATAAGCTGCCAAGTCATTTCTAAATCTGTCATTGGCCTTCAGCAATTTCCACTGTTCGTTGACTTATGCTTTCACGCACAGAAGTCTCTATCCCTTCCACCAAACAGACCTGTACAACGTTCTCCTCTCATTGCCTGCTGCAGTCCGAAGAGGCCTCTTTTTTGTTGACACGTTCATTAAATAACGTTAGAAACACATAAAAGATCAGCCATTATAGCGTAAGCGATGCTAAAATATTGTTCTATAACTGTAAGTGAAAAAACGTTAAAATCCGTCCGACGCGTTCCGATTCCCTTTCCAGTTAAAACTTACTTCAGTTGTCGTGGTAGATTCACCCCATCCACAAGCTACAACACAACAACATTGGCCCGCGGCATAACACGTGATCCAGTCCCTTTAATGTAAAAAACAAGCTCTCCTCAAAGTCCTCATGTGTTGAGGTCAAGCCAGAAGTAAATGCAACTTATACACATTAATAAAAATTTGCAAATATCGGCGCACTTTATTTATACAGTCGCTAGATCTTTTCGAGCTCGCTTCAATGCCGGTCAAAAGGAAGCAAAATGCAATTTTTGCAATTTCCTTCTTCAAGGTTGCCCTGTAAAATTGCATCCCCTCTTTCCTCCCAAATCAATGTTGGATCTGTATTTCTAACATTTTGGCTTAGAGATCATTCATCCAACATTTAATCGTGGAAGGGGAAAAGTTATCTTTAAAGTCTGAACTATTTTTGTCCAGGATTGCCACCTTCTGGCCACTTTACGTCTTTTAGCACTCAAGAGAAGATTTTGCATACGAACCTCCTCCAACATTTTTCCAAAACAGGAAACTTTTGCTGCACATTTGTAAAGGTATAAGGATCTTGAACGATTCATAAATACTTGGAGCTTTGAGCCTTTATGACTGACTCACTGACGGAGAGTACTAGGGATAAAATCATCAAAGCGCTGGGGAACAAAGCCCTTTTTCGCTGAACGCTGCTGACCTCAGTAGATTTGATTGTTTTTTCGAAGATCAGCAACCGTTTCCATGCATCGGGCCTCAGTCAAGTTTACACATCGTTCCTTAAGCTCCTCTTGCACTGCTTTAACTATAGACAATGCTGAGACAAGATTTTGACTGGAAGATTGCAGCTGCTTCACGACTGTTTATTGGCTTTAGAATGTCCACCAGCAGGCAATTTGCAACATTTAACATCCAATTGTCCTCATCCTCTTCGAGCTAATGCAGCAATCCTTTGCCAAGCTACTGTATTCGCCTTTAAAACTCAATGGTCTTGAATTTGAGTTAATTTTCAGCGCTTGTTTTTGCAATATTCTATATTTCTGTAGGCTCACTCAATAAATGCGTTTTTTTCATTATAACAGAACATAATATTCCTACTTCGACAACTCCTGATCAAAGCAGTGCGTCTCTAAATACTGCAATACTGCCCCTAAAATTGTTATTGACATTATTTGTGATTATGAAATGCCCTAGCCACGTGTTCCAGGCCAACGTAACGATTTGTTTTTTAAGAGCGAGCAGGTATTTTCAGCGCAAAGCACTATCTTAAGTCCTACTTGGGTAATAAGAAACCCTAATAGCCAATTTTCTTAGCTTGACCCAAATTGTTACAACATCAGTGGCGTAGTGTCCGGGTATTCAAGGTATCCAGTGAATACCCTGAGATTTTTAGATAGAAAATCAAAATAAAGTGAAATTTTAGTAATCTAAAATTACTTTATGATAATTGTTTGTGGCTAATTTTGTTGCCTTTCAATATGTTGTCTTTGATACAGATTCAAAATTGCACGAAATTCACGGGAATAAAGACATAGTTATTGTGGCGAAGTGTCTGGAAGCTGGGAATTTTGAGAAGGTAATATCGAAGATCAAACTACTCAATGTTGAATGGAGATCAGTCACGAACTCGCAGAGAATACCCTAGACCAGGGGTTCTTAAGTTTTTTGAGTGCCTGGCCAGAAAAACATAGATTTTACGTAGATTTTTTTCGTGGGCCAATGAATTTTCATTTCATTGTTACCAAGCTATATTAGAGATAAGATAAACCGGTCCACTATTTCTTTATTTTTAAAATCCTTCCAGTGTGCTTATTTACACGAAATAAGTCTTGGAAAGGTGGATGACAGAAGGGAACGAGGGAGGCAGTACTGACTTTGAAGGACATGGTGCTGGCTAGATGCTGGTGGGATTGGCTCAATGTGCATTACACGTCGGATTCACACGTTGAAGGCCAGGGATTACTGTTTGGTGGGAAGTGGGCCAAAAACCTCCAAATGTAGCATAGTAAATAAACACAAAAAATGTTTAACACAAAATTTGTTAAGTTTACGACTTTTTTGTACAAGGTTGAGTCAAAAGATCGTTGTTTTGCCCCCACTCTGCAATTTTTAAGTTGGGACGTTAATCTTTGTAAGACTCTTTTTAGGTCGACTTGAAGTGCCTGAAGTCAGAAATGATGATTGTTGTTGTAGTTATTATCGAACGCCACAAACTTTGGCGGCAAGAAAAATTTTAGATTGAACTAGTCTAAGAATGATGACCAGAAACTGCATCTAAAATTGATTTAAACGAGAGAAAGTTATATATTAAATTAATACGAGGCAATATTTTTGAGGCAAAAGAATTCACTGGGCGGGCTTAAATCTCGTTGCGGGCCTCAGTTGCCCCGCAAGCCTCAGAATGGCTGCCACCAATCAAAATGCTTCCTTTTATACGAATGATTTTCAATCGGCAAGAACAACGGCCAAGAACGCCGAGATTTATGCAGCGTACAGCCTCATATTTTGTTCAGATAGTCTCTCTTTGAGGTCAATAAAAACAATTTATGGAGGAGGAGGTCGAATTTTATATCTTCGAATTTGTCAAAATTGGATCATAGAATTGGAATCTTCATGTTGAAATTAGTCTGTGCCGAAATTTCATGTTATTTGGGCCGTCAGGCAGCGTATAAGGACGTATGGACTTGCAAATGGCTCACTGTAAAGTTGTTGATCTCCTTTGACCAAGGAGTCATGACATATAGAATCTTGCATGATCTCTGTCCCGAAAATTTTCGTCATAAATTTACTGAAAGATCCATGATTTCAGATTATAGAACCAGAAACCGTGGAGACCTGCAAATTCCCAAAGTTAGGTTAGAGTATGCAAAGCGAGGTTTCTATTTATCTGGTGTCAAAAACTGGATTGATGTCCCTAACAACATTCGAAGAAAAGAATCCATCGCTCGTTTTAAAACAGGTATTAGAGAGTATCTTTCGAACCTTCCACATGACCCAAACACGACCCCTTGGTAGTGCAGAAATATGCAAAAACTTCTTCTTTTAATAGTTCTTTTTTTGTAAATAGTTATTTTTTGCTGAAAGGTATCTCGTGTAAATAAATAAATATTGATTGATTATATACTGAGCATGCGCTGTTAGTGCAACTGTTTTCGCAGGATGGGTCGGATTCAGAGATGAAGCTATGGGGTGTCATGGTGGGCAGCTGCCCTCCAAGACTTTGCAATGACACCCTGTCGGAAACCAAATATAAGAAAAAATAAAGAACTGTTGGCCCTTTGAAACTGTCAGTTGTGGAATTTACCTTTTTTAAAAGAACCAGAAAAGAGAAATTTCTGCTGCAGTGGAAAGCTTAAACGTTAATCGCAAAAAAACTTCACAGGTTTCGCGCGGCAGCTTTTCGCTCAGTGGAAAGTAAGCTTTAACCGCCATTATGATTATGTGCAGTTATGTGCTCACTATCTTCAATGCTGCCTTTGGGAAAAGGGCTTGGAATTCATTTCACAAAGTATTAATAGCCGCATGTAATGCCCTCCGTGAATATTTTCGACATTCTCTGTCAGCATGTGGCATGAAAGTGTCATGTGTAGCAGCTATTGTGAGCACTTTGTTTATCGTTTACACCGACTGAAAGGATATCATAGTACACTAAGTTAGCAAAACCAAGGAACCAAGACAAGGTTCCGTTGACACGGTGGTGGATATTTTTTAAAACGCCATTATTTTTATTTGTTTTAAAAAACTCTTTGTCTACATTATGAGCGTCCACACCGAAAGTAAGGGAAGAAGAAAATTTTTTTACGCAAAGATAAACCTTTATTAAGTTTAAAGAATATCTTAGAATATCCAATAAATTGTTGGTTTTTTGAAATTTTTCCTCCTTCTATACCAGCCGTTCTGGTCCTATGAACCCTACCGACGATCCTGCGACGCTGCGCAATCCTTGGGGAAGTTGTTGTAGCCTCGGTTCCAGCTTTTCAGCCAAGGAACACGGCGGGAATGAACACCATGTTGGATTGCACGACTCGGCCATGGACGAAGGTCGAGATTGCAGTTTCATTCCCTTGTTCTTATCAACCAATCTTGGACACATCTATTTACAATCAGCTTAAACGCAAGCTGCTATAAAGTACGAAGAATGCTGTTCTGGGAGGAATTCAAAAGAGGGCGGTTGCAACACGAACTGGCATCATCATGAAGAAAATCTCAGCAATTTCGTTGCGGTATGTTGCCAACTTCTTTTCTCACCTTATTATTTTTGGCAAATTTGCATTTGTGCAAATTATGGTATTTTTAATGCCAGTGGTTGATTATGAAAAGGGAACCCCAAAATGCAACCTGCAAGCTGGCATTCGTGGTTAAGGTTGCCGGGCGGGCGAGGTTCAAACCAGCTCACTTAGCAGTGCAAAGCAGCATCACATTTCGACTCTTTCATCAGTTCCGTAATTACTGCATTGAGAGGGAAAATTGGAATAGCAATTTAGGAGGGCCGTTTCTTTACATTAAATGTGTGCTTATACTGCAGCATGCACTGGTCCTAAACTTGATGTTGCTGGAAATGGTTGACATAGAATGTCCAATGTAAGAAAATGAGCTACCACATATTACAACCTACCTTGCAGCTTAAAAGTCAGCAGTTACATTAATGTTTTTAGTTACTAAGAAAGTCTCTTTTACCAATTTTGTATATATTTAGCTGTAATAACTAAATTTTGTCATTGGCTAGCAGTTTGATTCTTGAAAGACAACATATTCACTGAGGTTACACTTTTATCCCTGCAAAAACCCAAGCATGGTTCACAGGCTAACCATAGTTTGCAATGGTCCTACCATGGTTGAACCACGATTCTGACAAGTTCTGACCATGGCTAGTGACAATGGTTGATCAATGAATAAGATTTTGCCTGCAAAGAACTTAACTTGTTTTCTCTTTGAGAATGTTAATTCTGGACTGTGTAAGAAGTTACCCTGAATAGAAAGAAAAGAAAAGAAAAACAAAATTGTCTGTATTTTTCAAAACCTGATCATTGCTGTCCCATTGCTGAACCATGGTTCATTTCTCAAGTGACTTTCCATAAAATGGCAAATAAATTTTACATTGAATAGTTTTGATTTCACCAATTTTCTTTTGGAGACACATTCCCTTGTCCCTTAAAGCCTAAAACATTAAATTTTTTATCAATTTGAAATGTTTTATGAGTATTTTGTCTGACAATTGCTGACGCATTGCTGAATCATGGTCAATTTCTCAACTGACATTTTCTAAAATGGCAAATTACTTTTACATTGAATAGTTTGTTTGACTATTTTTGTGTGGTTTGGTTTCACTATTTTTTTGTGGATTTATTTTACTGTTTTTTGGCCATAAAGCATTTATTTCTCTGAATTTGAAATGGTTAATGAAATATGGACCAACTATTGCTGACCCACTGCTGAACCGTGGTCCATTTTTTAACTGACAGGTTCCTCATCCTGCTTTCGCCAAAAATTCTGGCTGTCTTTGAATATCATTAAATTTTAAATTTTAATGGTTTTAGAAATATATTGAAACTATATTTTCACATGATATATATATTTATAAAATCAAAGATATATACTTGAGATTTTCATCAGATTTGCAAGAATATCAATCTTTGAAAAATATCTGATGAAAGCAACTGACAAGGTACCAGGGTCATAAGAGTGGATTCTTGGGTTTTTTCTCAGATAACTTTTTATTCCTATAACATGGTACAAACAAGCATATCAATACAAGATTGTCAGCAAATTGGAATATTCTATTGAAGTGCTTCTGTACAATTGCTCTAACAGTTCTTTATGGTATCTTATGGATGCATTACCATTGAAGCCAGGTTTTAAATATTTCAGAATAAAAAAGTCTTGCCAGTTTCATTCTTAGCCAACAAAACAAACTTATTATCTCAAATAAAAGGAAATCAGGCCTCTCGGTTTCTGGCATGTAATTGCGTGCCATGCACCTGTAGTGGTGCCAAGGCGCACATGGATGTGATGCACAACTAGCAATATTGTCCACCTCATCCATATGCATTTACAATTACTATTTTATCTGCAACATTGTCTTGTTGCTCTGTGGAATCATTTTTAAAGTACAGCCTTCACCATCTAGGCAATCCCTTGACACTATATAAATAATAAACACTGGAAAAATTTTTGTGTTGGTTGTGTGTGATAAAGGATTTACTTTCAATCAGTGTCACCCCATGAGCCACACACCTACTAAAATCGGTGCGGAGAGGCCTGCGATCCTTGTTTTTCTTCCCAGTGTACCTATTAGAGGCCACATGGTGTTCAGAACGTACATTAAGGCTTTTAGGCTGTTTCGAGTAAAGAAATTTTTGAAAAATTTCAAATTTTTTGAACTTTTTAGCAGGTCAGGGATCTTGGATTTCTTCAAAAATCACTAAGTCCTTATTTTGTAAACATGTGCATAATTTTCACTGAAACTACCCAAAATGGTGTTCTGAACATAAATTAAGGCTTTTGACGTTATTTCTAGAAATATTTTTTTACAATGTTCACATATTTTCAGGTTTTTTCAAGTTTCAGTGTGAAACATGCTATAAATACTCTTTCCTACCATTTTCAGATACCACTTGGAGGCTCAACCAAATATCTAGAAATGATATCAGAAAGGTAAAATTTTAAGCTTTATATTGTTTCACATAAAAATTTTTTTTGAGAAAATTTAAATATTTTTAACTTTTTCAGGTCCGGGGGTCATGAATTTTTTCAAAAATCACCAACTTCTTTTTTTAAAAAAATCAGAATAAATTTCACTGAAACAATCCAAAATGGCGTTCAAAACGTATCTTGAGGCTTTTTAGGTTGTTTCGAGTAAAAATTTTTTTTTGAAAATCTCAAGATTTTTCAACTTTTTTGCAGGTCTGGGGTCATGAATTTTTTCAAACTCACTAAGCCCTTATTTTGTAAATATGTGCATAATATTCACTGAAACTACCCGAAATGGTGTTCCAAACATAAATTAAGGCTTTTGATGTTATTTCTAGAAATATTTTTTTTACAAAAATCACATATTTTGAGATTTTTTCAAGTTTCAGTGTGAAACATGCTATAAATACTCTTTCCTACCATTTTCAGATACCACTTGGAGGCTCAACCAAATGTCTAGAAATGATTTCAGAAAGGTAAAATTTTAAGCTTTATATTGTTTCACGTAAAATTTTTTTTTGAAAAAATTTAAACATTTTTAACTTTTTGCAGGTCCGGGGGTCATGAATTTTTTAAAAAATCACCAAATCCTTATTTTCAAAAAATCAGCATGAATTTCACCGAAACGACCCGAAATGGCGTTCAGAACGTTTCTTGAGGCTTTTTAGGTTGTTTCGAGTAAAAAAATTTTTTTAAAAATTTCAAGATTTTTCAACTTTTTTGCAGGTCCGGGGTCATGACTTTTTTCAAAAATCACAAAGTCCTTATTTTCAAAAAATCAGCAAAATTTTCACCGAAACAACCCGAAATGGCGTTCAGAATGTATCTTGAGGCTTTTTAGGTTGTTTCGAGAAAAAAAAAATTTTTTTTAAAAATTTCAGGATTTTTCAACTTTTTTGCAGATCCGGGGTCATGAATTTTTTCAAAAATCACAAAGTCCTTATTTTCAAAAAATCAGCATAAATTTCACCGAAAGAACCCGAAATGGCGTTCAGAACGTATCTTGCGGCTTTTTAGGTTGTTTTGAGCAAAAAAAAATTTTTGAAAAATTTCAAGGTTTTTCAACTTTTTTGCAGGTCCGGGGTCATGAAATTTTTCAAAAATCACATAGTCCTTATTTTCAAAAAATCAGGATAAATTTCACTGAAACGACCCGAAATGGCGTTCAGAAGGTATCTTGCGGCTTTTTAGGTTGTTTTGAGTAAAAAAATTTTTTTTAAAAATTTCAGGATTTTTCAACTTTTTTGCAGGTCCGGGGTCATGAATTTTTTCAAAAATCACCAACTCCTTATTTTCAAAAAATCAGCATAGATTTCACCGAAACAACCCGAAATTGCATTGAGAACGTATCTTGCGGCTCTTTAGGTTGTTTTGAGTAAAAAAAATTTTTTCAAAAATTTCAAGATTTTTCAACTTTTTTGCAGGTCCGGGGTCATGAATTTTCTCAAAAATCACCAACTCCTTATTTTCAAAAAATCAGCATAATTTTCACCGAAACGACCCGAAATGGCGTTCAGAACGTATCTTGGGGCATTTCAGGTTGTTTCGAGTAAAAAAAAATTTTTGAAAAATTTCAAGGTTTTTCAACTTCTTTTCAGGTCCGGGGTCATAAAATTTTTCAAAAATCACCAACTCCTTATTTTCAAAAAATCAGCATAATTTTCACCGAAACAACCCGAAATGGCGTTCAGAACATATCTTGCGGCTTTTAAGGTTGTTTTGAGTAAAAAAATTTTTTTGAAAAATTTCAAGATTTTTCAACTTTTTTGCAGGTCCGGGGTCATGAAATTTTTCAAAAATCACCAACTCCTTATTTTCAAAAAATCAGCATAATTTTCACCGAAACAACCCGAAATGGCGTTCAGAACGTATCTTGCGGCTTTTTAGGTTGTTTCGAGTAAAAAAAAAATTTTGGAAAATTTCAAGATTTTTCAACTTTTTTGCAGGTC